GGGGGGTGTGGGAGGTGGATTAGAATAAGAGAGATTGATTAAAAGGGAGGCAGAAAGATGAGATGGTAAGGGAGGTAGGTGATCGGAAAAGAGTACGGCGGCTAAGATAGGACAGAGCAGAGGTCGCAGGTGATGAGGAAAGACAAAGAGCTTAAGTTCACAAATAGAATCAATCGATGGGTGTGCGTTGTGGTGACAGTTTGACGGTGAAAGGATAATAGGAATAATTGGGAGGGTGGAGGAGGAGCCTGAGGAAGGGAGGGAGGGAGACGGAGAGATGGGGAGAGAGACAGACAGAGAGTGGAGGGAGGGAGGAGGAGGAGGTGTGGATGGATGGGATTGAATGGGCTGGGCTGGAGTTGGTGAAGCCAGCCAATGTGGGAGAGCTGCAATGGGGCAATCCGCACCGTTAGCAGCCAGTACTTAGTTGTGGGTAAGGTAAGGTAGGCAGGCTAGGTAGGCTAGGTAGGTAAGTAAGGCAGGTAGCAGGTACCTAGTAGTAACAAGAGCCTGGAGCTCTGTTCAATTATTTAGCTCCTGCTGCTGTTGTAATGTACAGTACATACCTAACATAGCTCAATCATTAAGTAAACCTAAAGAAAGCAGCAACACAATGTATCTTATTCTCTACCTGTTTAAATATCTTTGATTCCCATTCTCTTCTCCTTTTCCTATCTCTTCATAATCTCCCGTCCAACTAAAGAGGACGATGAAACATAGCGCTGTCGGCTCCGTGGTCAACCCATTTCATCGAATTCAGGCCCCGAAGTCAAAATATTATAAGTGCCACGCATATGTCTTCCAGGCACCCGTTTACAACAAAACACACACATCACCATGAAGAACGCAGTCAAATAAATCATCGCTACTCAATGAAGTACCTTAGCCCTTGGACGGAGCTTCCTCTGCGTCGTCCTCAAGCTCCTTTAGGGGTGCTATGCTGTGTTGACAGCATCTGTTACGGCCCTGCAGACTGGTTCCAAGGGTCGCCGGGCTGCATCATGTGCCAGGAGGTGACCAATACCAGAGGGGTTTTGCGACAGCTCTGGCAGAGAAGATAAGAGGCAACAATCAGCTGTGCAAGAGAGGCACAAGTTAGAGAAAGGATCGATAGGGAGTCACAGATGAACACAGCTACCCTGGCTGAAACACAAACAGCCAGGATCCTGAAATTTTGATCGACGAGACCGAGCAAGAAGCCGTAGCAGACAAAGGGTTGCTCTCGAGAAGAAACAAAGCATCTATAGTGTCTGTACAAACAGCGCCGAGGCGATGGGTAACTACCGCCCGTGGATCTAGCTCCGGCTAGGCCTACGGTGCTTTACCAAGTAAGGTACTGAGATTACCACCATCCTGATCCAAAAAGGTGAGATAGACGAGATAAAATGGTATAGAGCGGTATGAGACAGTACCCATCACGTGAGTAATCCACCTACTACTTTTGTGACACTAGTCCTGTTTGGACCAATTGCAGCTGACCGCCTGGGCGGTCACAGCTCCCGAGTCTGGCTAGACCACTGCTGTGTTAGTCGTTTCGACTCCTACGCGCCGAAGGAGAACAAACCATAGTGAGCAACGATCCGTTATTTAGCATGAAGAACTTTGCTGGCACATTAGGAAATGCCAATCGAGACAGACACAATCAACCACACGTGATCATAGATTCAAGGACAGCCTGCCTCTTGGATATTATCTGTAGCATAGCGCATTGTCCTCCCAACTTCCAGCATGACTATCCACCACTCAAATAATTCGGCAAGACGCTAAGTTTCATGACTTCCCGCAGGTCACCTCAGGATACTAAGTCACTAGTAAGTCGACTAGGCGGAGTAGGTAAGGAGTACCTAGCTAGTCTGGTCTGTCTATCCACCTTCCATCGACTTCACCCTCCGCGGCGCTGCCGCCCCTCTTAAGCCCACTACGGCAAAATCCCTTTGTGGTGTCCCAAGTCCCATGTGTATGTATGCTGGCTGACTCGCTGATAAGTACAAATATTCACAAAAGGTCATCTAATCTAATCATGTCATCTATACAAATTTCAATCAAAAGCAATCGCATTGTCGTTCTGCCGGTGACCATTCATTTCTCACCATTGCAGCTCAGGTGTCATAACTTCATATACAATTTACCCTTGCAAGCCAATTCAAGCCAGGGTAACGGTCGTGTCGGCCCCATACCATGACCAGTCGATCGAACGGGATGGTGCGATGTAACGGCCGGGAGGTGGCCGCCTGTTGACCCCTAGTACACTAGGGTTACCGCGCGTTGGCGCGGAGATCGACAGGGAAGATGCTAGGCGACAAGCATTTTTCGCTGTTCCCCGTGAGAGCAGTTTCGTATACATGTGTCTATACATGCACAAGAACCATTTTAGACACCTCCTAACGCTCAGATCGTTTCGAGTGTGCCTCGGATTCAGGCTCATCCGCTTCGGCTTCTGCAGGAATGGGCTCATGCGTCGAGGTTTCGCTCATCTGCTCCCGTTAGTCATATAAGCACCACAGGTTTCAGGGTGTCATACCTTGTCGAGCCGATAATTGGACATGAGAAGGCTCAGCGGGATCAATGGGATGGTCGCAATCAGCGCCAGAACCAAGAGTTTGTTCATGGTTTCCTGATAGGCCCGATTGATGGCCACTCGCGCGGGCGAGCCCATGGGATAAGAAAGTGCTTTGGTCAACTTTCCGAATATTTCTCCAACATCTGCCTTGGCCTCATCAGGAAGGTACTGTTGTAGTTTGCGTGGAATGTGATGTGTCCAGATGGCGCCCGAAATGGCGGCTCCTACGGCACCGCCCATTTCCATGGAGGTAAGGAACATTGCCGTGGCGGCTGCAACATCTTGGTGGCTGGCGGAGGCCTGAACACCCAGTTGGACAGGTACATTGAGAAGCCCACCGCCCGCCCCGACTATCACCTGGGTCCCCAAAATCAAAGCTGGTGAGCTTCCCTCTCTCCGGTAAGTCAACATCAGGAATATCCCAGAAATGTATATCACGCAGCCAATTGTGACGTAGACGCGGTAACGTCGTGTATATTTAATTAAGATCGAGACTCCAAAGGCGGCAATAGTGGATGTGAAAGCGAAGGTTTGGGTCACACGGCCCGCCGTCGCTACATCGTAGTCCTGGACAACTTGGAGATAAGAGTAGAGGTACGGCTGAACGGAGAAATAGAATGCCACTTCAGTAATGTTAGCATGGTCGAGTATCAGCCTCGTGGTAATTCGGAAAGATTGACATACTGAAGTAGAAGAAAGCCAAAGTACAACCTGCCAGAGCAGTACGCTGTTTGAGGAGGTGCAAGGAAAGCAAGGGCTTGGGAGCCAACTTCTTCGAGCTTTCCCAGGCGGGAAGAGCGCAGAGACAGACTATGCCAACTATGATCATGGCGATGATGCTGTTGTTCTTCCACCCATTCTTGGAATTGGCGGCCAGTGTCAAGGGAACCAAAATCAACGTGACTGCCGCGGACAGCAAAATCAAGCCAAACATGTCAAGATCATACCAAGTGTGGCGAACAGCGGCAAAGAATCCTCGACGGTGAGCGCTCCTGGGCTTTATGAGGTTCAGCCGCTTGGCCTTGCGCTGGTTCAACAAGAGTGAGAGGGCCAAGGGAAGGAACGAAGCGGGCAAGATTATTGACCACATGCCGTAGCCCCAGCGCCATGAGGTATGCTCAAGCACCGCGTTTGCAATCGTCGGCCCGATCCAGACTGTCACTAGAAAGGGAAGCTCCGGTAAGAGTGCAAGAAGTGCACGGTTGAGGAGGCTACTGCTGTCGGCGATAAAGACCTGTTGCAATATTTGCAAGCCAGTTGAACCGGCGGAGTAAAAGATTTGGGCTGAGGCGTATGTCTGAACATTGGTTGATGCAGCCATCTGGATGTATCCGAGAACGTATATCATTATACTGACGCAAAAGGCCTCGAAACGGCCGAACACATCGGCGACTTTTGCCATTGGTGGCTTGATGACAGCTGCGATGAACGGTCAGCCAGAACTAGGGGTATCCGGCCTCAGACAGTGTACCGACCATTAACAACATTCTGAACGACAAGAACGGTTGAGATCAACGAATGTTTGCTGAAAGCGCTTGTAGCATATGCCGAGAGGGACATTACGGTTTGACCCTCAAGTGATGTACAAAATGCCATTAGGAATATGCTTCAGAATAGTTAGTACAGATACGCAATCAAGATCTCAGTTCCCTTTCACAAACACCAGAGACACATACCTGATATATGCTATGATCAAAGACCGTGTGGTCCAGGTCAGGTTGATTGCTTCAATCTTCCTGACACCCTCCTGTACAGAATCCCCCGAGGACTCTACATCGCTGTCATGCCCACCTGCTACATATCCTGCTTGGAGAAGATGCTCTCCTTCCTCTTCGTTGTATTGATCCATTTGACTGATTGTGCCATATGAAACTTTCGAGCGGTAATCGAGTAAGGGCATCGCGGGTGTGCCGGGTTGAATGATGTATGATGGAGTGGTGGAATCGCACTGAGGGTAAGGTCCATTTACTGCAAGCGACCGTGGGAGAGTTCGTTTCTAGTTGTGAGTATTTCTGGAGGCGAAGGTAGGATGTGGATAGGAGGTTGAATAGTGTTAAAGCTGAAGCATCGACATGGAAGAGAAAAGGCGAGAAGCTGACGCTTGCGAGGCTGCGCGGACGGAAAGGAGTCTCTGCGACCTGAACCAGCCAGATCCACTGACAAGAGAAAAAGCAATCAACAGGCGACCAACGAAAAGGAGGAATCCGAGTAGCGCAGAGACTAGGAATAAACCCCGATGAGGGGTATAAGTCAGAACGGCAGAGCTAATAGACTGGTGGACACTGAATCAAGGTCAGATGGGTTTGGGTACCAGTCCTGCGTCAGGTAACCAGATGCAGACAGTCAAGTCGATACACAGCGCAACGCGTGGATCGCCAGATCTATGGTGCAGGAGGAAGCACAAGGGGCTGAGCTCCAAGGCTTCCAGTCACAAATCAGACCCTCACGATGATTCGCACCACTGACCACGATCGACAGGCCGCACTTATGCAAGTCGGTGTGGGAAGCTAGGACTTAGCCTATGGGCTGAACGCCCGTGGCCGAGAAGGGAAGTGTGGCACCCGTAGAGTTGCAGCAGCGAATAGATATGAGTACTTGGATGAGAGAGAAAAGGAAAAAAAGTCGAAATTTGCTTCTATCCAGCACCAATCGTTAGGTCGAATGCGGGCGGATGTTGCCTGTCGGGCAAGTTTAAGTGGTGACAAAAGTTTGTGCCTTGCGCCCCAGGCAGTCCATTGACAGATACTTGGTTACACACGGCGGACGACCAAGGGTAGAGAAAGAGATGAAGGTGGGGGGAGGGGAAGTGATATCGAGTGTCGGTGCCCCTAGCCTTACTGCAGAGAAGGCTTCGACTGCAGGAGTTCACCCCAAAGAGGCGTGGTGGTTGCGGAAGGTGGGTGGGGATGCAGTGGGAAGGAAGATAGTATGGCAAGTGACCGGGATGTCGTATATTACGCAGTGTAGGAGAGCATCAGATATGATAAGATCACCTGGTCCGGCGGTCGGACCGAGCGGCAGTGTGAGGGGAGGAGGGGGATTGAGGGGAGGGAAAAGCCGGGATCAGATGATGGTGAAGGATAGATTGGTCAGGCTGCTCAGTGGTCCGTGGAGAATCTAAGGGAAAAGTGGTTCTCCGCTACTCATCACTTTCTATTTTATTTTATTTTTTGTATTTGGTTGGCATCAACCAGCTCTTATACATTGTAGTTCAGATGGATTTCTATTCTTCAGGTTACCACTTGCAGAGGGATAGGTAGGTAGCAGTGTGGATGAATGTCCCAGCCTGACCGCCTGGCTGGCTGGCATTCTGCTTGGACAACTTGGAAGCAAGAATGAAGTTGCGCATCGCCGCTTCATCCGCTTCCGCCCCCTTGCATGCGTGCAGACACGACAAACCTGTTTGGAAACTGGATCTATCGACCCAAAGACCTCTGTAAAGCGATGATGATTGGAATGCTTTGCACCTCTCTCTGCATGACTCGATCGCGTTGCCCAATCCAAGGAGAGGTATTGTCATCTCACCGGGCTCCTCATGCGGCTTCGACCCTTTGAAAAGTGCTTAACATGAAATTCCACTTCCTCTTTTTTCCCTTTTCACGGAATCTTACCAATGGAACCCAACCCGACCGACCTCACATCAATGTTGAATGAAGCCCGGACCCATTCCCTGATTGGGCTCAAGAGATACAAAGCGCGCCCGGGAAAGAATGGATCATGGATGACTCGGGAGCAACCGCGTCATCCAACCCGACCTGTCATCAGAGGCCGTTCTTCCCACCACACCACCAACAGACCGAGCAGGGTGAGTACGAGGATCAGATGAGATGGCGCGCTCACGAATCATCTGCGAGTTATTATAGTACTTTCTGATAACTCCCTCCCGCCCAAGCCGCTGTGAGAACAACGAAGAAATATCCTCAGATCGCGAAGGTGGTAGGTGCACTTCGAGCTGTGACGAGCCTTAAATGATCCCCACTCTTAGTCCATCAATGCTTGCAAGCCAAGGTTCCTGTCTCGGGGATTATGTTTCCTCTGTACGACATGTCGGTGATTTCTAGCGTGACCCTGAGGGTTGGTCGGCGATTTCGAGAAAAGCATGGCCAGATCTCGGCTCTTAATTCACAAACAGAGAGAGCATTTATAGAAGGGTATTTGGCTTTGCGTTACTGAGAACAAATGGCGCTCCTGTCACAATACTTGTCGTTGATTCGTGTATTGCCTACAATCTTGCTCACAAATCCATTTGTACGCTGAAGTCTATCTGGCTCCATCTGATCGGTGTCTAAAGTCGGGTGAAACACAGTGCAACAACTTCCTGGTTCTGTTCATGTGGGCCTGTCTGTTCTTCGAACTGATTACTTTCGAACAACGGTTAGCATCCCCGGACTCCATTTTCGACGATGCATAAATAGTCAGGTCGGAACAGACCTGTTCGAACATGTCCCTTAGAATCCGTCGTCGATTTATTAAGATATCTTGCACCAAATGGGCTTGGGGGAAATGCCTCGGAAATGAGTTGCATACCTCGCAAACTACGCATATCAGACGACCAATCAGCTAGGCACTGCAGGTTTCGAGGTCATGGTAGGGCCGTCAAAAATGCATAGTAACTACAGTGAGCGCATCCTGTACCTGCTGACTACACAGCCACAACGCATGCTGCATTCACCGACGCTGGTTGCGACGGACCTACCATTTCTCTTCACGGGCACATCCATGTGTAGTAGTATTCCTTCTCACAATATGAAGAATGTTGGAGATTTGTGTTTCTGAAGATACATTGAACCAGATATCTATGGACAACGTCAGGATCCCATTCAACCACAGATCTTATCAACCCCCTCACTCGGCCAAATCGATAATCAAGTGGCCGAAGTTGACTACCAGATCCTCCTTTTCGCTCGAAGGTTTCGCTGCATAAAGTCCAATCCAGAGGTCTTGCACATTTGTGTCTTCGAAAAACCAGGTCACCTCGCGAAGGGGAGACTTCTGGACACCCTCTACTAGGTAGATCCATAAGCTGTTATCCGACTCTCGGACGATCTCCAGGGTGGCCGCTCCACCACCTGACGGCACAGGCTGCAGACTCCAGTCTGCCCACCGGTCCTTGGCGACAGTACTCAGGTGTGGCCTGCCGTTGGCGAGCTCAATGCCGGACTTGACCCATTTTCGAGATCCGTCGGCGCCATTGAGGACCAGAATCACGCCGCCCTGGTCGTACTTGTGTTTCCAGAGGGCATTGAATGCGACCCTGGCCCTCTTGAAGGATTGCACTGGCACGCTTCTGTACAGAATGGGTGCGTTGAAAGACTCTGTGGAAGGAGGCTTGGCCCAAATGTCGGTTGAGGGGCTCGCTTTGATAGAGAACTCGGCGGGGAAGTACCCATCACCAGGAACCTTTTCGGAAGAGTTTGCGAATCTGAAATCCGTCATGATCGCGCGCAGTGTGAGATCCGAGGTGGGGAGCGTTGAGGGAGATAGAATAGTCAAAGCGGAAGTCTTCAAGTGCGGGGGCGGGGGAAGATGAAGTGTACTCCGATGATTGATATGAGGAAACGCGAGTAAAGGTATGAGTAGCACGGTTAGGAAGACCGGGAACCTCAATATGAATAAGAGGCCGGAGGACCATGGCCCAGACCCTACGTCACTTGGAGGGGGGGCAGCTCCACCGTCCAGAAGGCGCTCGGTCAAAGCTGGAGAAGCATCCCATTCCCAAGGGATCATTGCCCTCTGCGGTAACCTATGACAGCCATGACTCCATCTCCGGTGGGGTCATCGGAGCTGTCGGCGAGGGTAAGAAGCACGGCAAACACGAATGTTGTTGCTGCTGCATTAGCCAAAGTAGACAATTCTGTACCATACCTTATCTGAAGAGGCAGATCGATAAGGGGGGCTGATGTAGTACAGCACCTACGAACTGCAAGACCTGCAGAGTCCGTGGAGTGGGCACATATAGTATAAGTAGTACCGCCATGCTCCAATGGTTCTGTAACCATAACTACTAACACATACGTATGAGTGCTCGTTGTCACGGGGGGAGGGGAGGGGGATGACATAAGCGAGATCTTCCTTCCAGAAGGCGGCGTTGCGTTGTCGATCGGTCAGAGAATCTCCAAAATGGCAACCAACGTCAATTCGATCGATGCTGATTTGGCACGACCTACTCTAGGCATGGGCTGATTGATGATATCCACCGCTCTGTGATGTTTCTCCTTCGTTATGTCTGCCCGTCTCCTTCACCCAGATGAGTATGAGCTAGAAACTCGCTCGTCAGCGGACTCTCAGGAGAGCTTCAATCTCGATGAGGCCGATTTCGAATCGCAGGTGCCTCCGCGCCCCGGACGGATGTTGAGAAAGGTTCCTTTCCTATCGAGACTGTTCTCGTCGACCTATTCCGGCTATCGTAGCCTGAAGCCTTCGCGACCGTTCCTGTCGGCTTCCACACGCCGTGGTTGCTACCGCCGCCTGCTGTTCCGCCGCTGGTGCCTTCGCCTCCATGCCGCCGCAGGTATCATTGTTGCACTTATCGTCCTAACGTCCATCTTCCGACCATCGTATACTCGGCTGCCGCCACATTATTCGTCTCTTCAGGATGCAGTGTCGCAATCGACTGAACCCGGCCGTGGAAACCCCCGCAACGAGAAAGTCTTCATCGCTGCGAGCTTGTACGACCGCGATGGCGACCTGGCGCAGGGACACTGGGGGGATAGTGTGTTACGGCTAATTGATCTGCTCGGGCCAGATAATGTCTTCTTGAGTATCTATGAGAATGACAGCGGCGCGGAGGGCGAGCGGGCGCTTCGCGGCCTGGAGACACAGGTCACATGCAAGAAATCCATCGTATTCGAAGAGCATCTCGACCTAGAGTCTCTTGCAAAGGTTGTGGCGCCCGATGGGTCAAGGAGAACGAAACGGATCGAATACTTGGCTGAAATTCGAAACCGAGCACTACGGCCTTTGAACGATCAGCATGAGGTGCAATACGATAGACTTCTGTACTTGAATGATGTTGCCTTCAACCCAGTCGACGCACTTCACCTTTTGTTCTCTACAAATGTCGCGGACGACGGCATTTCTCACTATCGCGCAGCCTGTGCTATCGATTTTATCAATCCTTTCAAGTTCTATGACACTTACGCGACACGGGACTTGCAGGGTTACAGCATGGGGCTCCCTATCTTCCCTTGGTTTTCAACTGCGGGAGAAGGTCAAAGTCGACAGGATGTGTTATCAGGGAAAGATGCCGTGCGGGTTCGCAGTTGCTGGTCAGGCATGGTGGCTTTTGATGCTCGGTTCTTTCAGCAATCTCCGATGCACCACAGCTATAAGGGCGTTGAAACACCGGCTCAGTTTCGTGCTTCACACGAATTGTTCTGGGAAGCATCTGAGTGCTGCCTCATCCACGCCGACATTCAGGAATCTCTGGCGAATGGGGAAGACAGTGGCATTTATATGAACCCATATGTCCGTGTCGCATATGATCCCCAAACTCTCGCTTGGCTTGGTACAACTCGACGTTTTGAGAGACTGTACTCCTTGATCCAAAATCTGATCAGTCGCCTTGCTGGACTACCGTGGTTCAATCCTCGCCGGGATGAGATTCCGGGACAAAATGTACAACAGACAGTCTGGGTTCCAGACGAAAAAAAGGACGGCAGTGGCTCGTTCCAGACAGTTGATAGGGTTGCAGGGAAGGACGGCTTTTGTGGACGCCCAGGGCTTCAGGTAATTGTTGAGCATCGCGAAGAGGGACAAAAGGGGTGGGAAACCATCCCGATGCCGTCTTGAGGTTGTCTATGCTGAAACTTGGCACGTATCAGTACATGAATATTATCCTTGATGTGCTAGCAATTCTGCTGTCACAAATCTCCACCGCCTGGTTATGCGTTTGCTTGCACTGAGGGCCCTGATTTGAAAGCCTCGTCGTCGTCCCCGCCTTCCATTAGCTCAAGGAATAATTAACGCGCGCAGCAAAGTTTCTGCTGCAAACGCTTTGAAGAACTCTGGTGACTCACCTAAAGAATCTCTCGTAGTTCACTCCGTAGCCTTCGCTTAGGGAGATTCCTCTTTCCAGCTTCGCTCTTTGGGTTCACCGAGCCGTATGATATTTCCAAGTTTGTGATCATGCCTTCTCTTCTTGTGCCAATATGTCACCAGCTTCCTCCTCCGCCCTGCACTTTGTAACCATCACTCCTTTGGAGACATGGAGTTCGCCAACCGTGTCACAGGAGTTATCTACGGGGTGCTTGATTCTCTTATGGATCGGGCGACCTTGGCCAGCCTTGAGGAAAGCCAGCATGCCCCGAAAGCTGCGAAGTGGCCGACAGTGAAGGGCTCTCGTCTCCATCCGGTCTGTCTTACTCTTCCTTCTCGACTTCCTCCAGCCTCGCTTGTTTCAAAATTCGCGCTCTGCTTCCCGCCTGCTCCAGTTCCAGTCTGACCGTTTCGTGAAAGACTAACAAGTAGTGGGAAAACCCAGCAGGCTTCTCAAATCTCACCTGGCAACCGGCGGCCCTCCCTCGTTGAGTCTGTCAACGCACTCAAAGCGTCTTCTCATTCACCCTTCACCCCTCCCTCCTCGCGATCCCCTTCCACCGAACTCCCAAACACTTCTCCTAGCTTGTTTACCCAACAAACCACCACCGAAGAGAAAGACAACCAAGCAGCAAACATGTATCCCGTCGCTGACGTGGACGACACCGCCGGCTTTATGGCTGCTGCGCGCGCCTGGAAGCCGGAGAGAGAGTACTTCACCTCGTCCGCTCAGGCTGGGGATGTGTCGAGTGACAAGCAAGGTGGTGAAGATCATTCCGCCAACGCGTCTGACTACAACGCGACTGCTGGCGATGACGACTTCGGTAGGTCACCCACACTTCAACATGAGAGTCACACGAGACTGATGTTGACCTGTACATCCAGTTGGTATCCCCGGTGACGATGCTTTCGACGGATTCGCTCCCCCCAAGTCTGATGCTGGAGACTTTGAAGCCGGACTCGAGACTCAGAAGTCGGTCACCGATTGGGATGGAGCTGACAATACTGTGAAGCAGCAGCAGCAGCAGGAGGAGAATCAGCGTGTTACTGTTGCCCAGACCCCCTCAGAGGAGGAAGATCGCGAGAAACTCACTACCTTCAAATCTTGGGGTGCTCCCGCTCCTCGGGACAAGCCCGGTACTGCCCCTTTGCTCACTTCCTTGTCCCCAACTGAAGGACTAACACCCTACAATTTTCTGTCCAGCTGCTCGCATTCGTCGTGCGATCATCAAGGGCCTTCCCACTGCCTGGTGTAGCCCCGCCAAGGTCCTTTCGCTTGTGCACGGGGGTGCCATTGACAGCATCAACGTGACTTCCTCTGGCACCGCTCACATCCTGTTCTGTGAGGCCGATGCCTGTAAGGCGTTCTATGACAAATACCCCAACGGCATCACTCTGGACCGGGAGAAGAAGCTCGCCGTGTTTGTGGAGATGGGCCAGGAGGTTGACGTGGTCAGCTCCAGTCTCAGCTTCAGTCTCTCCGTCGGGGCCACCCGTGTTGTCCGTGCTGTCGGAGCCCAGATGGATGTCAGTATGGAGCAGTTGATCAAGCTGGCGACCTCCAAGAACGGCAAGCTCGAGAAGATGATCGACACCTTCATCCCCGGCGAAGTGAGCTGTCGTTCCTATAGCCTGCAGTTCCCTCAACTGACCAGACCAATTCCAGGCCCGCAGCATCGTGTTCCGTTTCTGCAGTGTCGACGACGCCGTCCGTTTCCGTGCCGCCTTCGCCCGCGAGATCGAATTCGAGCAGTGCAACGTTCAGTACGCGGCTGATCCGTGAGTGAAACCTATCTGCATACCATGGCACATGAGGCTTGGGCTTGTGGCTAAGAATATACAGATGCGAGGCTGCGACTGGCTACCATGTGGACTAGACGTCTAAGTGTTGTGCGTCCAGGGGTCTGCAATGATCTTCAGCAGTACACACGGCATTCCGAGGAAGTCCAAAGACAATTTCTTTCATGTTGTACATTAAGGTGGCTTCGGGCCCATGACTATTACTGGGTTGTATGAAAGCAAGCGCCATCAATGCAGCTAGCTCATATGTCATATCCAGACTTAGGAATATGCGAAGACGAAATTCATCTGCTGCATTTATATCCCACTGGGTAGCTCGTTTCAATTGCGTAAAGATAAGTTATCCGATTGGAGTTGGATATACATGCTTCCCACGCCCCTACCACCTGCTAAAAATGTAGTATGTAAGTATAGTCCCCATCACCACCCACCGAAGAAAACGAAATCAAGCAACACGCACCCCTAAATAAGTATCTCCAGTCCCTCCCCTTCTTTCTTCTCACTCCCCAAGCCCCAAGAACCTCCAGACTCATCACATCATCTCCCTCCCATTCTCTACGCCGTAGATCAAACCAACCAGACTACCAGTGCCTGCGATTCACGAGCTACGCTAGGTTCGAATCGACTTTGTCTACAGCATACGTACTGTACTGTACAGTACAGTGCAGTACTTGGTATACTACATACTACAGTCTCCGTACAGTACATCCCGCCGACACGATCGGAAGTGGGTTAGGTACCGGGACAATTTGCCTAAGTACTGTACTGTACTGTACTGTACTGTACTCCGTAGAGTCAGCTGAAAAAGGTTAAGTAACCTAACATGACCTCACGGTCACGTTTACCCCAGCAAAACCAAAGCCCGAGCCCATGTTAGCACAGCAAAGCAACAGCAAGCACGTGAGTGAGTTGAACGAGGTTCGGCTCAGCATGTTTCCCCCGGAGACCTACCCACGCCCACGCCCACGCCCACGGAATGATAAGACCCCAATTCTCCCCTCCCGTGCCCCGGGCTGGCTGTTGAAGACCCTCAGTCAGATCCGTCCTCTAACTCACTGTACCTTACAGAGTAAGTCCTACCAAGTTGAGTATGTACTGTACTGTACGGGGTACAGTACGTACGAGTGACAATTAAAAAGTGCGAGCTCTCGCAAAAGCATTCCCCCCCCCCCACCTTTTTTTTTGTTATTTATTTTTTTTTTCTTTGGGCGTGCGTTTGGTCCGAGATCTGACCGGCGGTGATGGCGGCGATTGCGGCGGGCGGGCGGACGGGCGGCGGACTTAGATTCCTAGATTTGGGGGTTTGGGAGTAGGTAAATGCGCTGATAGCCTGATAGCCTGATACAGGCAACTAAACTAAACTCTAACTACTGGAAGATACAAGATGTGATTCTTCTGCGGTGGTGCTTCTAGTACGTACAGACTGACTTTGAATTGATGAGATGATGAGATGTACGGTACTGTAGTTTTGTACTCGAATATCCTTCATTGAGGGTTGATAAGGGGCTATGTTGGAAGTACAGTACATGATTACCAGCAAGTTCAGACACTCAATGACAGGGGACTCAATCCCTATCCCAAGGAGGTCATTCAAGTCCGACTCCCGGTCCAAGTGGGCTGGCTGGCTGGCGAGCGATGGTGTCGAACGGGACTGTACTCATACTTGGCAACAACTGCCAGCCAAAGTGGAGGCCCGTCACTCACTCACTCACCGTGACTTAACCGCTTGGTCGTTGTCCTCGGTTAGCTCTACCTGGCTCGGCCATAACTGGAGTCGTCCACCAAAAGAACCTTTTCACTTTATTTCCCACCCCCTCGGCCCTTGCTAGGATAGGCTTGTGCTAGGCATGGGTTCTCCAACACTCACTCGACAGGCAACCCCCCCAAAAAAGTCTGCGCACGCCAAGCAGTTGGGCTTGTTTTTCTTTTTCCTACTGACTATGCTGAGCTTGTGTCATCTCTCCGGATACTGTAGTCTGTAGCAAAGCGTTAGCTCTCTCTCTGCGACCTATTCTAAACTAACTAACACGTTGGGGAATCGGAGTCGGGGAATTGGAGCCCAGGGAAAGAAAGGCTCGAATCTCGGGGCCAAGTTCCACATGGATCTGACTGGCGCTTGCTTGATCTGCTACTAACCAGCCTTACTGGATAGGTGTAGGGATGCAGCGTCGTTTGCGTTGCGCTCATGCATCGTTGAATAATAGGCAGTCCTGTCAGTCTAGGCGTCTGCGGAGGCTAGCCGGCTCCAACGAGGGAGATCACCATACTGAATGGCCTGCTCGTCTGTCAACCATCGCATTCTTAGTCAGGACTCACTAATGTACTGTAAGTTAGTCGCCTAGTTTGGACTAAGGGCAATCTATTCGGTCCTACCAGATGAGGTAAATGCAGGCTAGTTTTCACGCACGTCTGCCGGCGTTAGTCAGTGCAAGTTTGAAACGAGGCTCCACCCCGGGGGGAGTGGCAGTGATGAGAAGATCATAGGCGTGGTAACACTGTAGCCTGGTGGTATTAGTGATGATGACGATTGACCGTGACTTGTAGCAATGTTGGTTATACTGGAAATCAAAACTTTTCCAAGTTGAAAAAGACCGGAACCACAGGGTCAGGGAACGAGTGACCGACCACAGAGCGGCACCATTCAAGTCAACCAAAAAATTAAACTGTAACAAGGCGCGGATAAGGCAGGCCGAGATCCGGTCGAGGGACGGACCCAACACTAAGCTATCATTGGAGTGGATACCGTGCGGAGATCGCCGACGATGAGGAACAAAGAGGTGTTACGTTAATTTCTTTGTCCCCCTCAGCCAGTGGGGTCGTCGGTCTGAAAGCCTGACGATCGCGACCGGAGTGGTAACGGACTCGAAGAGAAAGTAACTTAACGGCATTGAATGCTAATCTATTGAGACGGCTGGCTTCATCGACCGCCCGTCCATGGTTTTCATCGTGACTCGGTGGTGGTGGTGTTACCTGAAATGGGAACCACAGCGGAAGTCTTCCGTCTGTTCCCATGCTGCTGCCATGTCGGCTTTTGTGGTGTTTGCGTCCAGGTGAAAAGGGCGACGTGCGCATACTAACTTAGTCGATAGGCTAAGTTAGACAAGCAAGTTTAAGAGGTGGCATCTGCACGACTGACTCTCAGCCCCATCTTATCCACTGGAACCCGGTGACAAGTACGGGGTAAGCCTCCGTGGATGCGCCGTAACCCCATCCCTCCCTCCTCCCCTCCCCGTCCCACAATCGCTGTGACGGCTGTACGTACCCCCATGAGGTCCGGGCTGCCTGATCACCAAGGGTTTCGAACAGCCGAATAGCAAGGAAGGGGATGGGAAAATGTGATAGCCCCAATTTTCCCTCAAACTCGAAGTGAGAATCTCTCAGCTGCCTCTGTGTTCAAGCGCGGCCCAAGGATTGGATCCGGTGAGGGGGGGGGGGGCAGCGCAGCACCGGCTGAGACTAGCAGCGAAAGAAATGGCACCAACGGACCCGACAGTCTGGTAGAGGTGTGATAGTTGGGCATTAGTAGGCAAGCCTTGAGCAATTTCCGTCCAGTTGAGGGGTTTCTGCTTTTCTGGGTAGGGTGGGTTGACAAGGATCCTTGCAAGTGAGGCAATTGGCTTCCTAGCGAGCGCGGAAATGTGGCAAGTTTTTGCGGTAGAGGCCCGTCAATCCTTGGAGCAGCGTAGTGTGGGAGGGGGTCAGTTATCACGAACGTACGATGAAGCTCGAGGTGATGAGCAAGAAGCACTGACTCAGCCGAATCAAAGTGGTTAGTGAGCTAGGTAGGTTCTTCAGTCTGTTTAAGGTACGGAAGTAAGCTTACCTGGATGCGTGCCTTCCCGTAGCCTCCTTCTTCCACCTTCTCCTCCCCTCCCTTCCCCTCCCCCCCTGAAGGGTTGTGTTATGGGGTGGAGGGGGAGGAGAGGGGGGGCAACAGGGAAAGTGGACGGGGGGGGGGAGGGTGATGATGATGATGATGGATGGGGATTCGGGGAGGAAGGGGGCTGGTCGGGTAAAGGTGGGTGTTGTGGAGGCACTAGACAAGGTCCGGACTACTGCTAAAGGGAAGAAGTGGCCGCGTCCATATTGATTCTCATTAGTATTAATCGATCTGGACTTGCTTGTCGATCGAACGGCCGTCAGTCTTGGTGGTGTGGATTGACAGTACGGAGTACAGTACAGTGCTATAGTGTAATACAGGTTGCAAACGTTTGAATTAACATAACGTTACATAACGTTACATAGCATGATCACGTATTGAGGTCTCCCCTTTGGATGGCATGCATTGGCGACGGGGCGCCAATCGGCCACCGCCAATGTTCCATCCATGTGTCGTCTCGTTCGCTTGCTCTTCATTTCTGATTGAACCAAAGACTCCTGTCGACGTAGAGTCAAGGCACTTCATTGGCCTAGGCATAAGGGTGTCGTCTGAGGTCAGATTGAAGGTTCAACACATGACTCAAGGGTAGCATGGCTGTGTCTGACCAAACGAAGTCCATGACCAGAAGGAATCTAACAAAAAAAGCCTCGCTAGATTCGCGATGTCGGCTTAGGTATCACGCTACCGGTCGATTACAGCACGGTCTCGAATCAGGATAACTGAGCTACATGTTGAGCGCGGAGCTTTGTGGAGGCTAGTTTGATTTTTCCAGCTCCTCAAGACATTAACTCATGCAGAGCAACTGTGCCGCACGTCATATCGGGAAGACAGACAGACAAGGGCCGGGCAGGCGAGACGTTAATCGATTGATTTGGCTGTGGAGCCGATGCGATGCAAAAAAAGGGCCGACTCACCCGGCCACTGGAGTCACAACGATACAAGCCTCCGTCAATGCCTGGATGCCTCTAAAAATCAAGCACATTATGAGCTGGTTCCTGTAAGTTTCCGGTCGATCGAACCAGTAAAGGGAGATTTAATAATTCTTAGTCTGAAAGCGGGGTCTGATACAGAATTGTGTGCTTTCCCGTTCAATCAAACACGCAATAGATGGGTTAGAACAGCCTTGCCAACCTACTCAAGCCACTGTGAGGTCCGGACCGTCACTAATTGCGGCGGCGGCGGAGAAAAGACTCGGTCTGAGGCGACTCGACCCACGTGCTGAGCGGCGCAGGGGCAATAGAAGCCGATCTCGAAAGCGAGACGCAGTACTACTAGTCCAGGAGAGATCGGAAGAGTGTCATCAACGGACAGTGAACCAGGAAAGGTCGGTGTTGTGGTCTTAGTGACACTCGCCCCCGAATCGAAAGATTGGCGCGTCATTCGGGGGTTCCACTTAGACGACCAGACCAACGAGCAATTGCCACTGATATTGTCACCTAATCCATCTTGTTGAATGACTCTTAGACATCCTGTCAAGCTGAGTACTCGGTCTTTTTGAGTTCCTCAATCTCTCAAACTTCCACCACTTAGCCAAGTCGGCTAGCTGCGAGCAGGGCAGTTGAAGGGCCAAGGAGATTACCATTCGTCCATAATGGACAATCCATAGATATGGATGTGTAATTGGTAGAGTCGGCTGGTGCTCCACTGTCACGTATTAGACTCTGCTTTCTTCTGAAAAAGACCTCTCAACGATATCTCTATGCTTTGATGCAATATAGGCAATAATGGCGGTGAAATGGAGATTCCACTCACTCCCATGGAGTCCGGTGGTCTTATGTTCTCCTGTCCGGCGCATGGCCCACCGGAACCAAGTACTAAGCGGGAACCTGTCCAGCGTATGGTCCCATGGTTCAGATCAGCCCGAAGCGCACGTCGGTATAAGGTGGCGTTATGTGACTAGAACTAGACTATGTGCCACGGATCCTGAAGATCAAACGTGGTGAACGTGGCCCAGCAAAGAAGGGGGAAAAAAAGGAATAATCGGAAAGCCTTGGAAGGCTCCAAATGGACCGGTTGCTTTTCCCCATTGCCGTAGCGCTGAACCAACAAAGGATCCATCACCCTGTTCGCGGCCGAGTTCGAAATGTGTGAAGGATGTCATAAATTTCAAGGGACTTAGCGTGATGGCGCCAAGAGCTTCTAGCGTCACTGCCCTTCCATGAGCTAAAAACCTATTCACAGCGTGCGAATTGATAAATCAATTGGAGAATACCGGGAACATGATACCTGATAGGAAGAGAGAGGAAGGAGGCCAAGTGGTGACTGCGAGGTGTATGATGAAAGGATCGACATGTGCAAAAGGTTGAGCCCTGTCCCAGGCTGTCCAGTGACGATAAGTGCGACTGCGAGCTTTGACCATATGACCACATTCTGCAGTGCGTATGTATCTTGCACATACTGTAACTACTTAGGTATGTTGACTCACAGTAGGCAGGCAGGTAGGTACCTAAGGTGCCAAAGGATGCCTGGAAGTATTCTGGTCTCAACCCAGCAGTTACCTCGTCCTGGGCTGGGTGAATTACTGGGGATCAAGACTGGGAAACTTATGACTGATTCTCATTGTGGAGATCCCTATTGGTGTGACGGAGCAAGATTATGATCCCCTCTGATAGACATATCAGTCATAGAGTTGGAGGATGTACGAGTACACCTAATATGCTCACACCCTTACGGAGAGGTCTTGCAAATACAGTATGCAATCTTCAGCATCACTATTGACTGAGAATTGACATATCACTCAACGCCTTCGTGCAAAGGTGAGGCATCATGATCATGGGGAAATGGTGTCGCCGTCGATCATTGACGATTGAGATCGAGCCGTAGATTGATCCGGCGTACATTCCTCCCCATTCCAGCCCGAGAAGCTCTGATGTATCCAATCCATTGCTGTTCATTTTGATGCCCATCCTTACCGAAAAAACTATCCTGCATGGCTTCGAGAACCTGGCGCAATTGGCTCTGTTGCTTTACAGAGCTGTCCTGCGGTGGCTTCCCGGCGTTCGACAATTGAGGACGGTGGCCGAAGCCACCACGAACAAGGTCAAACCAACATTCCTGGAATGAAAAGAAGGAGAATTTCCGTCAAAGGGGCTACGGAGCATCCCTACCGTGGTAGACGTGCTTATGGCTAATTCCCTGCGGGAGGCAGGCAAAAAAAAAAACTCGGTTTCGACTCCCAGACGTCGCACCACTACAATGTGATGATATCACAGTCTCCTTCATGAAATTTGTTCCGTCCAATCGAGGCCATGGTGTGAAGAAATCGACAGCTGGGCTTTCCAAAGACATTTGGCTCCAAACTGCAGCACTACCAGTCAGGTAAGAGTAAATCCAGACGGCCCTAAAGGGTCATCGTGCCTTAGGTGATCGGAGAACACGGTAGCTCGCTTGCAGGTCGGCTAGTATCATTATGTTATTTTGCGGACAGTCGGACGCACGTTTCAGCTTCTAAGACAAACTTTCACAAGTCGGCTGTAGTACGGAGTACGGCGGGACTCCACCATAGTGTAGTTGATCCGTAAGTAGTGGATTTAATAGTGCATTGTAGCGTGGGACTAAGTGGTCTTAGGAGGACCCATCGGTACCGCGGCAATGCCTTCAACTTCCGCGCAAGACCGTGTCAATTGACAAAGAGCCGCAAACGTTGCGCATTCTAGGTCGTTTCTAGATACTAGGTGATGGCACTAATCAATCCTGCGAGCATCGGAGGTGTAGCTAAGGTTGAGTTACAAATAATTCCCTTTTCGATCACCGTTGTTAGTGTGTCACCGAGGCTGCAGTGATTATATTACCAGACCGTTTGTAATCTGCGCCGGACAAAGAACAAAAAACGAAACACCAATGCCTGCTGGCCGGTGCCTCGGCAGTAGATAGTTGTCACAGGGACAGAGTCTTGAGTGCTGCTGGTGCTGTACAGTAGTACTTGACTACGAGTCAGGGCCCGGTCCTCCATATCTCTCCATTCGCCTGAAAGCCAGCCCCTGTCGAAGCATTTTCTTTGTTCTCATCCTGGACTGGTGGCACTGGAATGAAAGGTACCCACCACCAAACAACACCAAACAACGCAACGCTGCTCTCGGCCGCCAACCAGACGGGGGCTCCCATGTCCATCAGATTGTCTAAATGCGCCATCGCTTCAAACGAGCTATTTTCATAGGCTTAGGTCCTCATCATCCTTGACAGTAGACACTCACGTGATCGAACACGTCTGCGGGTACGCGTGTGACGAGACGACGAGGGGAGTACTGAGGCAGACAAGGAAAGGCTTTCGGCCTTGAAGCTTGAGAAGAAGGTTTTGGTTCGACTTGCGACGGTGTAGAGGAAGCAAATAAGGCAGCAATGTATGTCTTCAAGGTTGGTTGTCGTGCTCGTGTATGAAGTGCGTATGGTACATACATCTGAACCACGCCTCCTTAGCCGAGTCAACAACTCTGCCAAAGTCCAAAGGAGATCTACAACAGGCACAAGCAAGTGGACGATCATCCGCCGATTCAATTCGCTGGCTATGAAATGGTGGGAAGGAAGGAGAGAGGAAGGCCGGTCGGTATCTCCACGGAAGCATTGGCCTACTGAGTATGTCTGGTCTAGACACGGGCGCAACATTGGATTGATTAGGTCTATGTAGTAATGCAGGTAGGTATGCAGTAGACGTGCTTCAACTCTGCTGTAAGTAGAACCAGTAATATCAGCGACTGAGCAGGCCATGAACCTCATAATTGATAGCATGGGCTGTCCGATTGCACAAGCGCCTGAGAAAAGAAAGTTCCCCACACACAGGACGCAATTATGCGCTCTGGAAGGGGGAAATGGAGGGGGATAATGAGGCTTTGGAAAGCTTGCGCAAGTTGACTGTGCCGCAGACATGGTTGTTATTGAACAACCAATCTCAGCTTCTGCACCGAGCTCTGTTACTTTCATGATATGTCACCGTCGTCATCTTCGCGTCAGTGATACTGCGCGGTAGAATGAGAGGAAACGAAGACAACTTTGCAAGACATATCGTAGCTTTTTAGGAATGGTATGGCGGTAGTCTCTCCACTTTGGTGAACCTTTCGGTTCCGGAGATCACACCGACAAGTTTTCTCTTCTAATTAGACTCTGCTTAGGAATTTGAAGTAAGCGAAGCAGACAGTATTCCATGCTCCGTACTTGGATGTCTGGATATGAAATTGAGAACATCTGATGGATGCTGCCGATTGTTCTAGAGAAGAAAAAGAAGGGGGAGGCAGGGAAGGGGGAGGGGCCGTTGCAGCTGCCGGGAATGGGGATGATGAAGGATCCCCAAACCCAGGTTGCAGCAGTCAGCAGGCACCACAAAGTCAAGAAGAAAGCGAGCCTGAGACTGAGAGGCATCGGGAGGAACTGAAAAGGAAGGAATAATGTAATTGGACACCGAGCCGGCGCGACACCGAGCCGGCGGCCGCCGCGCCGTGTCTTGCACCCCCAGTAACTTAAAGTTAAAGAACTCGCCCAAACCGCCCTATATTAAAATATCTTATAATTTTTTTGGTATTTCTCTTTGTATATTAATATAGCTGATACAGATAAATATTTAAATCTTACTGTTAAGGTCTTTAAAAGTAGAAAGTTTGCTATAAAGGCCGCCTATACTGCTGTATTTAATATTAAAATAAGTACTTTTAAAGATTGTTTAAATAGTATTAAACTATATATTAAAAAAAATACTAATTATAGAAAGCTATCTGTAATTAAAAAAAATATATTAAAGTAGTAGCTTTTTAATATAGTCTACTAAAAGCTGTTTTTTAAAATCTATAATATTTAATTCTCTGCCCAGCTGCTATATTAAGCAAAGTTAAAGCTAAATTAACAAAATACTATATTAAAATATTAGATTATTTACTTTGTTAAATGTTATCTGGAATTAATATTTAAGTTTATATTAAAGTATAATTATTAATATACTAAATATAAGAATTTTTATTTTATTTAAAAATAGTTTAATCTTGTTTGTAATACAGTCTAAAAATATAGTATTTTTAATAAAAATATATAAAATATAGATAAGACTAGATTTTAAATAGAAGTTGCTTTAACTGCTTATATAATCTATGGCTTAAAAATATAAAAATTATATACTAAGTATATACAGTTAAAAAACTATAAATAGGTAACTTTAATTATTATAATTTTAGCCTTAGAAATAGTACTGCTACTACAGATTATTTTTACAGTATAGAATTATTAATTAATATAGTATAAAGTCTGTCTAAGATTATATTATTTAAATATTAGTAAAAATAGCTGGACTACTAATAAACTTAGCTTTAACTGGCTTTAGAATATATTTAATAAATATACAGCTTTAAAAACTGTTAGTAAATATTATATATTAATTTTTAATAGCTATAGCAGTTATATAACTTAGCAGTTTAATTAATTCTATATAGTATAAAAAATTATTTTTTTATATATACCAGCCTATTTGTTATATAAACTGCAGCTGCTTAATATTGTATACTTTAAACTATTAAAAAAGTTATATAGCCAGTATATATTTAAAACTATTTATTATAAAAAAAATTAATTACTAAACTTAATTTTTTACAGCTATATTATAGTATATATACTAAGATCTTTTTTAATATTAATATACTTAGTAGATTCTATACTACCGGCCTTGTTTTTTTAAATTTTTAAAAGGTTTTTTTAATACTATAGATTTAATTAAAAATACCAAGTCTACTAATATTTTTATATTCTATTTAGTTTTTCTATTTTAGAAAAACGCCTGTAAATTTATATAAACTTAGAAAATAGAAATAAAAATTATAAAAACTTACAGATTAAGGCCTAGTATTAATAGTTTTATATAAAGTTATTAAAAAAGTAATTAAGGCTGCAGAATAGTTTATACAGAATACAGTTCTGCTTTAATAATAAGTTAAACAGTTTTAGT